ACTATTTCTATTGGTGCAGAATAAACATCAAACACATGACTGAACCCTGATTGGATCAGGCGCTAATGAACTGGGGGGGTTGCTACTTTTGTAAAATTAGTATTAAAGTGACACTATATATATTTAAGCTTTAACTTTTGTTTAGTCTTTAAAAAGATTTAAATGTTTATACATTCTTCTGAAAAGATAGTTATTCATAAGAGGTTTCATTCTTAAGGGTTTCCGTTTATAAAAGCATCCATTAAAAGATAAAAAATTTTTATAATACCCTTCGTCAATAACAATATATTCCATTAAAGTATCTAGCTATTAAAGTACTCCCTTTTAAAGTATCCGATAAAAAATATGGTCTTTTTATATTTAGCTATAAAACTATCCCAATAAAAGTATCCTACTATAAAATAACCCCTCTATACGTAGCTAACTGTAAAAATATCTTCCTTGAAAGTATGCAGGTTTAAACGTTATCCCGTTAAAAGTATCCTACTATAATAGTACCAATACCAATATTTCCCTTTAAAAGTATCCAGTTATACTAATATCTCACTTTGAAAGTATCCAGCTAAGAAAGTATCACCCTTTAAAAGTATCCAGTTTTACTTATATATTCCTTTAAAAGTATCCAGTTATACTAATATCTCTCTTTAAAGTATCCAGTTATACCAATATCTCCCTTTAAACGTATAAAGTTATACTAATATCTCCCTTTAAAAGTATCCAGTTATACTAATATCTCCCTTTTAAAGTATCCAGTTACATCACATTAAAAGTATCCAGTTATACTAATATCTCCCTTTAAAAGTATCAAGTTATACTAATATCTCTCTTTAAAAGTATAAAGTTGTACTAATATCTATCTCCCTCTATAAGTTTTAACTTATAATTTGTATGGGAATTATTTTTCTTAATTGGTATCAATGAGCTGAACATTATTGATGTGAAAAATCAATTATTTTGGTCGATTTCACGGTTTTTCTACATCCCCCAGCCTCATCGCAACACCCATAAAATATAGAAAATTTCAAAGAAGAATCAGTTAGAAAAATGTATGCCATAGTTTAGTGTAAAAACCAACAAGTTAAAATAAAGTTTATCAACATAATTTTCTTGAAAATTTAAATTGCAAAAACAAATTTTGCTTACTAATAGTAAGTAATAGTAATAGTAATAGTAATAGTAAGAACATAATAGTAAGAACTAAAAACAAGTGAAACAGACATAATACATAAAAGATTGCAATCAAGAAGTTTTGGGTTGAGAAAGATAAATTTCTGTATGGAGTTTTATTTTTTTAATTTTAAACTGGCAGATAAGGTTAAGAAGATGTTGCATGTAAATATCACCTGAGATAAGATTAAGAAGATGTTGCATGTAAATATCACCTGAGATAAGATTAAGAAGATGTTGCATGTAAGTATCACCTGAGGTTTTAGAAATTATGAACTTTGACGCATACTCACACTTGTCAGCTGAACAAAAATCGTATATACATCCTTTTCCGCGCAATACCGTGCACGCTCGCAGATTAAGGCATTTCCTGACGCGCAGCATAATTGGATAAAATATGAGATCTGGATGAGAATATGGGGGATGAGAAGGAAACGGTGGAATGAGAATTCCTAGATTTCTGGATGACTTTTTGACTTTTAACACTTGGTTGTACACACGGAATGAGAATGGATCAACGCACGAAAGAAATTATTAGTCGCCTTAAACTTGAATTTTCTGCTCTCTTTATCTTTGTAAGCTGATGGTTTAACTTTGACTATTTGATCAAGCAGAAATAATTTAAAGTTTGAAATATCTAAGGTCTTAAGACATCAAAATTGAAAGGATTAGAAAATTAGAGTTAGAGGCGAAAACTCAAGTCCTTCATCTAGAAAGCGCTCAATTATCAGTTAGAAAAATATGGATTTGGCTGCGTTATCTGTAATTATTTGAAGGTATAAAAGGTACAGTTGAGAATCAGACATGCGACTTCATAACTCATTGGATAATGAGATTAATGAGATAGATAGAAAGATAGATGTTACCGCCATACTATTTCTATTGGTTCAGAAAAGACATCAAACACACGACTGAACCCTGATTGGATCAGGCGCTAATGAACTTGGCATACAGGAGTGGAAGATGCACGTGAAATTACGTGTACAGTGTCTGAATTTAATGAACTTGAGCCGCGTCTTAAATCCGCCAAAAACCGGGTTCAATTAAGCGCCGGCTTAAATCTTGAAACAATGAATACAACTTCGGCTTAAATCTTGAAACAATGAATACAACTTTAACTGGAACCAACCATATTTGAGCCGTGGCTAAAATTTAAGCTGCGGCTCAAATTCTTTAAATTCGGCCTCAGTCTCTTTAAATGTTTAGGATGAGTTTATATTTGCCAAGATATGGATTTAACTGAGTGTGAATTGGAACGCTAGTTCTGGACGCATTAACGCAGATCCGTACGCATTAACTTGGTTTTACGCATTTCAGATTCACATTATAAAAACCAAATATTACGGTTTAAAAATGATGATTTGTAGTTTTGAAATTATTACATCATCCATGATAATATGTGGGTTGTTTAATATTTTGCGTAGGTTTTAGTACACACTGTTAATATTAGCGTAAGTTCAATGATATGCGTACGTTTAAAAATAAGTTTAATTCATTCGAGCTAGCCAAACATTTGTCTCTGATAATATGAGAAATGATTTTTTTCTTGAAATTTTTTTAAAGCTTTTTCAATCTTTAGTTTTTATTTCTTGCAATTTTTTCTTCAACAATTAACAATTTTCTTTGTTTGTTTTGCAAAAATTCAATTCATGTTCTTAATTCTGAAATCTTATTCGGTTTCAATTCCTGTTTCTAATTTTTAGTTTCTTCGGTTTATATTTTTCTACTTTTTCCTGTTTTTTTTTTCAAAAAAAAATTTCTTTCGATTTCACTTCCTTCAATTCTCAATTTTCCGAATTTACTCTGAACCGTTTGAACCAAGCGATTAAAAAGTAGAAAGGTGGGGATACTAAAACTTTTTATGACATTTTTACAAAAATGGACATTTTATAGTTTACCATAAAAACTGGTACAATATTTCGACTAGACAGAATAAAATGTTTTTAAAGCATATTTTAACCACAGAGTTTCCTCACAGTTTGAATACAAGTTTACAAGGTTACATCAAGTAGAGAAGATTGAGGTTTAAATGGGATAGAATCACATAAGAATAGAAAATTTAATGAATATATACATAAAAAAGAATAAATGATAGAAGGATAGAAGGTAGAATGATAGAAGGATATAAGGATAGAAGGATTAAGAATAGAAAGAAAGAAGGATAGAAGGATAGAAGGATAGAAGACTAGAAGAATTAAGAATAGAAAGAAAGAAGGATAGAAGGATAGAAGGATAGAAGAATAGAAGGATTGAAGGATAGAAGAAAAGCAGGTGTAAGATGAGAGTTCTTGTTCTAATCTTTGATTATATTCGCCTGGATTGATTTTATAGAAGAAATTAAATCATTTTACAACGAGAAGGAGGCAATTCATGGACAGATAGCAAGCTCGCTAAATTGAAAGATAGATATATATAGTTAAAGGATAGATAGATAATTAGATGAAAAGGCAGATAGTTAGTTGGTACTTTCAGATATATAGCAAACTAGGCGTTCATTGCGCTTCGCGCCCATCTTTGAGTTGTGGCTCTATCGGTGAGCATTTTCTCTTCGTAATTTTTTTTCATTGCAAACATAGATGTACATTTCATACTTGATTAGACAATCCTTTTAAGGGTACCGTCGTGAATCGGGCATTGACATTTTTGTATGAATGGACCCTTTAAATTACGCTTTGAGTCCCTGTAAGCACCAAGCTGTTTCATGCAACAGACAGGCAGTCTTGCAGGGAGAAATTACTATGAGATTCAGACTTAAAATTGTATGATTAAAAAGTTTAACATGTCTCAAATGAATCCGAAAGAAGTTTTCCACAACACTGAATACTCAGTTCAACTACCTTACATAGCCGGTCACTCCCTTTAAAATTATTTTTTTAAAAAGGCCTACAGAAACATCAGTAATAAAAACCTAAAATTATTACAAAAAAATGGAAGCAAGTGCTATTTAAGCCTAATTTTTTTTTCTAATTGACATTTTTTTCAGCATGGAAATACAGCTCTGCACGAGGCAGCCTGGCGAGGGTACAGCCGGACCGTGGGACTGCTCTGCAAAAACAAATCTAATTTCTACATTAAGAACAGGGGAGGGTTTGCCCCCCTCCACCTCTGCTGTCAGAACGGGCACAACGAGACATGTCGGGTTCTACTCCTCCAGGGCTGCAAACCGGACATCAAAAATAATGTAAGATTTTTTAAATATTTTTTTCACATTTATCCGCTTAATTTTGACAACATGAAATTTGTATAATACAAGGACTTGCCCGATTTACAGCGCGGTATCCTGTGTGAATCTTATGACAATTTTCTTGAGTTCTATCTTCAAAATCCATTATTTATTTTAGTGAAATTAGATAAAAGTTTATAATGGGTCGTTGTTTATCGCATATATACCCTTTAAGTGTAGGGTCTCTTCAATAATTTCGTTAACAGTCCCTCAGATGGACGCGATGTTGGATCTGATCTCCGATAGAAATAATTGTTTGATTTATGAGTTATCAAAATATACAAAATATACATTATACATACATACATGGATATCTGTTGTGCGCAAGAAAAGCTAAAATTGTTCAGTCCATGACACTTTTCCTTGCAAAACTGTACGAAAACCAATGGAATTTTAAAGGGACCGTTCACTTATTTGATTAATGTCAGGGTTAACTAAACAGCCTATTCTCTGTTGATTGGTAATAGTCTTACTTTTCAAAGACAACTGTGGCCGGAGAAAAAGCCGATTTTTCGTTCAGAATTTGAGCGGGAAGGGACGGTCCCTCTCTACATTACCAAATCAACAGCGAATATCTGTTTAGTTTACCTTGAAATTACCCAAACAAGTGAACAGTCCCTCTAAATTCTCTGCGAACATGTTTTGTTTTTGTTTAATAACCCAAGAGCAATATAGTTTTATTTTCGTTAGAATTGGATGTAATAATTTACGCGAAAATATTCGCACAAATAGGGAAAATAAAGTTGCTGTTTTTTTTACCTTTTTATCATTGAACATTCAAAAAGTTGACAAAATCTGTTTTTCACAGAGCCATTTATTTTACCAAGTTTTTGGACTTCACAAATTTCAAAACATTTTAAGAAAATTGTCTTGATTTGGTTTAAACTGAGTGTTTACATGACTAGACAAGTTTCCTCAAGAGTACGATAAATCATCTGAGATACGTTCACGTCGCAAACATGGAGATTAACCTAATCTTTGCATAATTTAACATTTTATGGTCCATGTACGCATAATTAGACGCAGTTACCCTCCCCTACCCCGTCCTACCCTTAATGCAAGAAAATGAGGTCAAACTTTTTATGTTTCTTTTTCATCATTTTAACGAAAAATTATGTATAATTTGAAAGAGAGATCAGAGTCAGACTCGGCTATTTTTGTTTTAACACTCTTTCCTGGTTGGGGAAATCCAGGTTTGATTTTGCTTTTACAGGGTGTTCAAATAAACAAGAAATTAAAAGGCCTCCTGAAGGAATAGTGTTGTGAATTGCAAATTTCACTTGAAATTAAGTCTACTCTTAGTACAGGTGTTGTACAGTACAGGTGTTGTACAGTACAGGTGTTGTACAGTACAGGTGTTGTACAGTGTAGGTGTTGACATTTTAATTATTTTTCATTTCTCTGGTAAATTCTATCTGCCCCCCCCCCACAACTATGCAACACCCCTCTTGGTCCAGACTATGCAACACCCCTCTTGGGATTTAACGGTTCAGTCCTTTTCCAAGAGAACCATGACTTTCGATCGTATCTTGACCTATTTAACAGTATTTTTTGCCTTCATTTTTTCTGTCGGCCAAATCGTTATAAACAAAAAGTTACAAAAAAGACAACTCCGTAAGTTTGAAGATTGTTGAAATAAGATTGTTGAAATATAGACGTAAATCATACAATTGTTTGAATTCAAATAGAAGAAACCAAATGCGTCTCGCCTTGGTTAGTTCGGGGTGGAGGTCTTCAAAATATGAGACTTCAACTTTGTTGAGATTTCAGCGCGTTAAACTGTGTAAACCTGTTTTTATGCTAAGCAAACCTGTTTTTATGCTAAGTAAACCTGTTTTTATGCTAAGTAAACCTGTTTTTATGCTAAGTAAACCTGTTGCTAAGTAAACCTGTTGCTAAGTAAACCTGTTTTTATGCTAAGTAAAGTAATTCAGTTTTCAACAGGACTTCTTTATCACAAATAAATTGTTGGAAATAAATTTTTAAGATTTTTGTAAATATATGTTTTTTTTTAGTATGGAGACACCCCCCTACACACTGCAGCAAGATACGGGCACGCCGGAGTAATACGCATTCTGGTGAGCGGGAAATGCAATGCGTCGGAGCAAAACAAGGTAAAGCGCATTTGTCAAATCTGTCAAATCTATGAATTAATTGTAAATCTATGTAAATTGTAAAATCTATGAATTATTTCATTATCTTTGAATCTAAGAATAATTGTAGTAATAACTTGACGAAATCTAATAAGGAATTTAGTCTTTGCCACAGACTCAAATTTACTAATCCTATATCTTTGCAACCCAATGGCGAAGACCTTATTATATTTCAAACTATGAATCAGGATAGATCAAACAATCTAATTTTGATAAATCAAAGGAATCCAAAAATAAAAATTTGAGGTTGTGGCAAACGTTGAGTTCCTTTAAGAATCTCTAAATATTTGATCTTATTACTATTCTATAATTAATAGAAAAATCTTAATGACCAATCAGTGGTATTCGTATAATATCTAAATCATGCTTAATGAGCCCTACTGAGATCTAATAACTACTAATGATCCCTCTGCTAGTGTAATTATAAATTCCAACCCGACTCCAAGTATTTAAACAAGTAATGACTCGAATTCAGGGGGGGTTAACTTTAAGAATAGGAAGGGTGGAGAAAAGGAAGAACAAGATGAAGGATTAATAAAGGTTCTAAGGCTTGGGTAGAATGGTTACAGGCATTATTTAAGTTACAGGGTGTTCTTCACAAAAAAATCCACGTAAAACGTATTTTTGATTTTTTCATAACGGGCAACATTTTAGAAATTTGAATTAATTGTTTCCCTAAAAAAATCAGCTGTAGATTTAAATTGAAAAATTTTTCAGCATATTTTTTTACGGTACACCCTCGGAATGAATCTTAAAATCTTTAATTATATTTCTTTATTTTAAATCCTATCAATAGATATTCTTTTCAAAAACCTTTTCACTTCGGGGAGGGGGGGAGGGGGGCATGGGGGGAGAGACAAAGGATACACAAGGGGAATGGGTAGAATCGATTTACGTATAGATAGAATACATTTTTTATATTTACCACCTTCTGAGCAAAATCATTTGAATTGCCAATGTGCCTTGTGCATTCCCAGTTGTAGGCAACGGGTATTTGTGCATCTGTGAAAATCTGTTTTTATCAATCCTCTTTACAAAAACAAGGAATAGATATTTTAAAAGTACCGATTTTTTAAATTTTTTTGTTTAAAAAATAACCCTATATTTTCCGCGAACACCACCTACTAACTAAAAAGGGGTTATATATATATGTCTCATATATATATATACATATACATATATATGTGTAGACATATGTAGATATATATGTAGACATCTAATGGACAATCACTGGTAAATTTTCATTTATAGATAAAATCAGATTGTTCGTCAATTGTCGATTTTTACGCTGCATCATGCTTAAATCAGTTCCCCTCTTTAGAAAACGATATCCAGGAATGTAATGTGGATTTTTGTTGTTGTTTTGTTAGACCCTATAGAGGAGGGAGGGNAAGGGGGGGGGTAATTGTATAACTAAGTTTGTCTGTAAAAACTACAGATTGTTGTCTATATATAGGTATGAGTGGTTGCGCCTGATGCACATGGTTTTATCTTAATAATCTATTGTTATTCTTCATTCTAACTTACCAACCCATCTAAAGCCTCAAACCCACCTTGTAACGATGTTAGGTACATTTCCAAAGGTTTATACCTAAGCGGCTATCCCCCATTGCAGCCTGCGGCGCCTCAGAAGATCTAACCTAACCTTTGGGAAATTGCCTCTTTGTAAATTGCACATTTGGGAAGTTGCCACTTGGGAAGTTGCCCTTGGGGAACACCTTTTGGGAAAATACCTAACACCCAATTGTAAGAATAGTAGTTTTGAATCAGCTACGGAATATTTTAAGATATTTTTCATTCCATCGCGCGTGTAGAAATCCAAAACCAATAAAATTCTGAATAAACAAAAGGCTAGCGGGCCAGTAGATGTATGGTGCAAATAAAAGAAAAGAAAACACTGTTTGGAGAGCGTCACTTTCATTCATTAAAACAATTGGGTATTTTCTTATTTAATTCCTTTTTTTTCTAAATAAATTCTTCATTTGTCAGGTGATTGTGCATGCGTAATTACCTCGATTTTATATTCCTCTAAATCATTATTTAAAAATACAAATCACCCCTCAAACCTAATTTTCTCATTCTTATATCTTTGCAACCCTATGTCGTAGTCGTAGGCAGATGAAAATTTAGAAAAAATAGCTAAAAGTTTAAATGAATATAATTACAGAGAATACTGTTAAATACCCAACAACAATTTACGAGGCTGTAAATTTAAAATTTTAATTTAAAATCAAGAATTCTAATTTACACTATTTCTATTGAATAGATTGTGATTCATTCATATTCATTCATTCATGTTTTCATCTAGCAAATCCTATTCATTCATGTTTTCATCTAGCCAATACTATTCATTCATGTTTTCATCTAGCAAATCCTATGCCAGAAAAAAAGGAACAGAGCTCTTACCTCAAACTCTGATTTGCTAAAATCTTTGCAATAGGGTGTTCTTACCTTTAAATATTTAGAAAGAAATACTTCATACCCCCCAACTGTAATGTAATTGTCGGATAATCATTTAGAATTCGCCACGCTATTCTATCCCACATAACACCTTTATTCCATGCCAAGGGTTAAATATGCTATAGAAATATAACTGGGTCCGCAAATTCATATAATATATAAAAAAGATATCTGAAAAGAAAACGGTTTAGGCAAATAATATATTTTATATCCCTGTAAACATATTATACCCCTGTAATGGTTCCTAGTTTCCAATTATATTTCTAATTTATCTCAATCCTTCACGGGAAAGGATAGCTCTATAGTGTATAGGATAGGATAGATACAGGGATAGATGGGGATATATATCTTACCATCCTTTTCTCACTGTTGTTTCCCCATCTTTCAATGATCCCCCCCGGGGTGAGAAATGGGCANNNGATCCCCCCCCCCCTAGCATATTTTCCCAAGATTTACTTCTCATTTACTTCCTATATCTTTCTCCAATCTGATCATTTTTGGATTATAAAAATTTATTTTGAAAACCGTTGTACAGGTTTTAAAATTAGTGATTCATTGAAGAGAAGAAAAGTGGTAGGGAAGGGGGAGGGAGGGGAAGGTGAGGAAAGAAAAAGGGAAGATGAGGTAGAGGGAGTGAGAGGAAAGATGAATTGGGTGGGGAGGAAATTTTCAAGGAAGTGATAGATGGAGGAAAGGAAGGTTGAGGGGTAGGAAGGATATATTGAGGAAAGGAAGGTTGGGGGCTAGGAAGGATATATTGAAGAAAGGAAGGTTGGGGGTAGGAAGGATATATTGAGGAAAGGAAGTTTGAGGGGTAGGAAGGATAAATTGAGGAAAGGAAGGTTGAGAGGTAGGAAGGATAGATGGAGGAAAGGAAGGTTGAGGGGTAGGAAGGATAGATGGAGGAAAGNGGTAGGAAGGATAGATTGAGGAAAGGAAGGTTGAGGGGTAGGAAGGATAGATGGAGGAAAGGAAGGTCGAGGGGTAGGAAGGGATAGACGGAGGATGGAAGGGTTAGAGGAGATGAATATGAGATAAGATTATGTTTATGTTAAACCCCCCCCCCCCTTCCCCCTGTTATCCCTGTATCTCTCTCTATATCATGTATCTCCCTGCAGCCCCAATATTATCTGTATAGAACATACATCTATCTATCCTAGGTCCGGACCTGTCAGATTTCAGATTATTTCATTTATAGAACAAAGGATTTGAACATTGTTCTCCAACTCTCTAAAAATGTGGGGAAAATTGTATCCGAGTATAACGATGTTTTTCTCTGGTGCGTTGAAAGCTTCTCGTTCTTTTGCAATTCTTTATGACATGGTTCGAATATCTAAATTCAACCCACTTTAAAACAGAATTTTCATATTTAACCCTACAAAGGTTGGAGGGTTTGCATGCCTCCCCCCCCCCCTTTGAGACAAGAACAACTGGTGCCAAATATTCATACTTTTGCATTTAGGTTCCTTTTTTAAAAGATAACATTATAAACTTTTACTAAAATAAGGGGGTATAGGGTAGGACGCTTGTTCAATCTTATCAGGAATTCCAGCCATTTAATGGTTTAATTTCGGATTTTAGATTTGTTTGTTAGCCTATATAGTATGTATATATATAATATATATTAGGTGCCCAGTTAAAAAAATTGATCATCAAAAAAATTATAAAAAGTATTGAATTTCTTTTGAATTTCTTTTAAAGAATTTTACGACTAAAAATGATAAATTAAAAGCCATTGTTAAATAATTTTTTTCTTTCCCGTTTTTATTTAAAATATGATGTTGTTAAAGCATAAAATAATCTTTCATCAAATCTTTATCATTGTCATATAAAAATGTGTCTGAACGATACTGAGTCTATATTTGTAAGCCGAATGTTGAAGCTTTAAAATGAAAAGTCAATCTTATCATAAAATGATTTTACGCCGCTTTTAACTTCTTTTCTTCTGTCAGCCATATAAATCTAATTTGCTGATGAACCTTCTCTCACGAACAGATAACCTAGACCAATCTATACTAAATACAGGCTGTGTCAAGAAACAGTCTTGTTTTACATTTATGGTATATCGGCATCTATTAAGGAATGTTGTTTTTCACATCCCCCCCCCCACAACAAAGGAATTGAGTTTTGCCACAAACTCTGATTTTCTAATTCCTAAAACTTTGCAGCCCGTTTTCTTTGACCTTTGATATTTCAAACTATTAATTCTGTTAGATCAAATAGTCTAAGTTTGCAATATCAAAGATTTACATCATCAGGTTAGAAAATGCTAGTTTGTGGCAAAAGCTCAATTCCTTAGCAGATTTTTACATTTCTGTAAATCCGATCTTGATAAAATGTAAGGATTACTAGAAATGATATATCAGTACATTCTTGCTTGTCTATACTTTTGATTTTAAGATGAAAAAACCTGATTGCGCGGATTTTTTTCTCAACCGTACACACATGTCACGAGCTAATTCACGACACAACAAATCTAAATGACCGTCCAAATATGTAAATTACACAAAAAAAATATAATTTAAAAAAAGACAGCACTTATCATACTCTTTTTGACTCCCCCTAGGGCCTAGCTACAGGTATCTCTAAATCTGATATGTACAAGGACTATATATATCGTAAAGTAAATGTAAAAAGAAAATATGACCGTAGTCCACATGTGTTTAAACTTTATTAAAATGTTGCTAAGTAATGATATTATATTGAGTGATAACTCCGAAATAAATGATTTTGCAAGGTTTCGCCTAGTCAGCGCAGAAGTTAGATTTGATGGCTGCAACAAAAGAAAATCGTAAAACTCGCATAAACCTGATCAATAATATGGAAGATATCGTCGTTTGTCTACCATGGAATAAGTTTAACTCTGAAATATATCATACAATTTTTTAAGTCTAAAATATGGATATCTCATTTCTACCATATCAGACGAAGCTTTTAGGTGTACCTTTCTGATTCGGACAAGTTTCTTTAACAATGTAAATATTTAATTTTTGTTTAGAATGGTGACACAGCCCTGCATATAGCTGCAGCTATGGGTCGAAGAAAGCTGACCAAGATTCTCATAGAGTCTGGGTGTGATATACAGGCTAAAAATAAACAGGGGGAGACATCTTTAGATATATCAAGGAACATACATCAGTCAATCAATCAATCATGAAAATGTTTGAAATATCTAAGGTCTGCAACATTGGGTTGTTAAGATATAGGGATTTAAAAACCATAGTTTGTTGCAAAGACTCCATTCCTTATGAACATTCCAAAATTGTTTTCGGATATTTAATATCAAGATGATAGTGTAAGGTAAGGTGTTTTAAATGTTCCAATGATAATCATCAGCAATTAGTTTAGTTTTTTGACATATTCTAAACTTTCTCACGAAGAAATCGATGAGAATTTTGCCAATTACATGTTTAAACCTAAAGCTAAAAACAAGGGTTTTTTAAGGTTCTGAAATTCACAACAAAAAAAGCATTATTGATTTTAGAACATCAAATCCCAAGGCATTGCGACACTTCAAAGTCAACCCTCTCTTGAAAAACAATGCAACTTTTCTTAGCAGGCTGAACCTATGCGCCAATTGAAGGTTTTTTAAACTGTAATGCATTAGCAGTATTTTGTCCGTATACGACCTCTTGTTTAATTATCTGACCCCTCGCATTCTTGATGTCCCGAGACACGTCCCATATATCTTGGACATCCCATATCTTGAATACTATCGGAGCTAGGAGGCACGAAACCTAAGTTTTCTTCTAAACCTTGAGCTTCACATCTATCTACAGATCTATAGACAAATCTTAGCTCACGAGCCAGTGATAGACAGATAGATAGTGGGGGGACACAGTCATAGCAAAGTTAAAGGGACTGTACACTTCACACATTTAAAGGGACTGTATACTAGAAAGATATCTTCGTTTTTGTATTTTAAAAAGTATTGAATTTCACAATTTTCTAAAATAAATCTGCGACATCAATGGACTGCTCGTATTTTCGAGTGAACCTCCATGGAAAGATTGCAATGCCCTGCCCGATTCACAATGGTACCCTGATGGTTTTTCCTGATCAAATATGAAGTATATATCAATGCTTATAATGTGCACTGATTATTTTCAATTGGGACAAAATTAACATATCGGAATTATCAGAATATTACACTTTAAAATAGAATAAAACACTTTAACACTTTAAATCTTTAAATTAAACCTCGCAAAATGATTTTGAAAACTTTATATTAAAGGTTGAGTATATATATTATTTATAAGCCCATTAAATGTAATCAGGAAAATGGAATGTATGACTAAGCGAAAATGTGAATACTGGATAATGATTTCTCAATGAAAAGAAACATAAAAAGAATTTTACAGATATACCGCTATTAACTATCTTATTAGCATATCTTCTAGGAAACCTTCGAAATTGTTAGAATAAAAGGATTTAAATAGCTCTTAGCCAAATTTAAGTATATTTTCTTAGATATACATTTTACGTTCCATTTTCGTTAAATAACTATTGAAAAGTAATTGATATCTCATCATTCTTATTTTTTTTCGTTGCAAGTTGATGTTGTAGACCATTTTTTTCAAGTATTATGAACTGGATCTAGAAGTTAATGTTTAAGATATCAAATACGGATGGTAGGCGATGATTATACCAAAATAATAAAGACGAATTTTTTGTTCAAGTTTTAATTGTTAACAAGCTTTTTTTGAATTTAAAGTTTACAAGTAATAAAAGAGAAAATTTTTTTATTGATGGCTTCTCTTTGTTTCCATGTTTTTGTTTATTCATATTGAAATCGAAAGTCGTCTTCATTATATGTTATAATGGCCTACCACCGTACCAACCTTCAGTTGTAATAATTTTCAAAATATTAAATTTTCTTGATTTTAGTAAAAAATTTTCTTTTTTGTGGTTTACTAAAAAGATATTACTGTTTATTATTATTTATAAAACTCCAAGTTTTATAAATCTGAAACCCTGAAAGTATCGGATCTACATATTATTGTGAGCGCTACAGACTCGATCAGTCATTTGAATTTCAAACATGAGGCACGTTTTCAGAATTTAGTTAACGTTCAGAATACTCGCCGATCCTCGTAGCATCATTTGAATTCCGTAATTGATGCTAAATATATTCTTCAGATAGCACGAAAATGACATTTTTGATGAGTTTTAAATTGTTGGTTTCTATCAACGAATCAGAATACATAACATGAAAGGGTTAAAGGATGCGGGGGAAGGCTAGATATCAGAATACATAACTTGAAAGGGTTAAAGGATGAGGGGTAAGGATAGATGATATCAGAATGCATAACATGAAAGGGTTAAAGGATGGAGGGGGAGGAAGGTTTTCAGAATACATAACTTGAAAGGGTTAAAGGATGGGGGGGAAGGATAGATATCAGAATACATAACATGAAAGGGTTAAAGGATGGAGGGGGAGGATAGATATCAGAATACATAATATGAAAGGGTTAAAGGATGGGGGGTAAGGATAGATATCAGAATACAGTTTAGGATACCAATTTCGTTTCGCTCTGGGATACTAAAGATTGAAATGCGAGAAGAAATTTTGCATTCAAACAATATACTGCAGATCTAGACAGAACAGGCCGGTGTTAGACACTTTATAGGATGCCATACGAAACTTTTTTATGTTTTTTTTTATATTTTTTGATAGAAAAAATGTCGGTCAGTCATTACATATGATAAAAAACTAACAGAAAATACCCATGATGCCCAGCCCCNGTAGTAGTATTATTTTTATTATTTTTTACTTTCAGGCCAAAGCTGGGAGGGTACGAAGTAAGGAGGACCTACACTGGAGTCCGTATGGTTGCCATTATCAACCAGATATGGAAGAATTCCCAATACCTAGGTAAGAGAAATGTTATACATTTTTTAAAAAATTTTTAAACAGTTTTTTCCATTGTCTTTAATTATCAGTTTAATTTCAGTAATTTTCGAAAGACAAACACCACGATAGGATTTTTTTAACTTTAGAATTGTTTGGTTGTGCAATTCAAAAGCAAAAATAAGATCGAAATAAATGACCACAACGTTTACTTTTAAATCTAGTTTTCCGCGAAATCTAAAAATAAAAATAACCCCTTTTTAGGATTGACAGTATCCCTGATGATCCTCTCCGAGCCGGAGAACAATATTTCCTGGATTTGGCGGGAAACATTAAAAAAGGTCCAACAAGTAAAAGTTACGCTTGCTACTGTGGTCCAGCCTTCCAGAAGTTTGAAAAGAAACTAGAACGAGACAAGAGAGAGCTCTTGAAGCACATCGACTCCAGCCATTCTAAACTGGACAGTAAAATCAGCCACCTGGAGAAGAAAACCAAGGATCAAGTGTTTAATCTAAACCAGAGCATGAAGGAAAGTTTTGCTACGGAGAGAAGTGAGTGCATGGATAGGATGGATCGAAGAGCGCTCAGGGAAAGAATTGCAATAGAGAGACAGCAGGCGGTCAGAGATATTTCATTAAAACGAGATCTGGCGTCCTGGTTGGATAAAAAGCTCCGTGAGATTGAGACTAAGCATGGAGCGGATGGTAAAAACTCCGCGCTTCTGAGAACCATGGCACTCCGTGCAGCTGGAAAACGTGCTAAAAACTCTGGAATTACAGGGCTAGATGTTGGAACCCTAAGACGAGCCATGAGCGAGGAATTATTGTCAGATGTTGGGCTAAACGAGGATGCGAGGCCGGTGTTAAGAGAAGAGACAACCTCTGTATACAAAGGTTTAATCGTCTCAGATACTCCGTCCAACAGGGTTCGGAGAAACAGCGCCGGCGACGAATGTTTAGATCCTGCTCCGTCCCCCCTACTCCGAGAACATGATGGAGAGCACGAATTCAACCAGGATATCCTGGCTTACAGTACAAACAGTGAATCTTATCTGGATACAAGTCATTCTGAACGTGGTTCTTCCATCACTAGTAGAGAGAGTAGGAGCAAACCTCAACAAAGACCGGAGAGTGTAGTTTCACCGTCCAGTGCCTCACAAAACAAAGGAAAGGGTTCAAAGAGTGACTTAAACCCCAGTGGTGGGACGGGAACTAAGAGAAACGGACTCATTCGACCAATTCCAATGTGTTTCAGCAGTGAAAACATTCACACACTCATCCCTCCTATTGAGGAGCTAAACCTAAACCAAACTAATTATAAAACGTCTCAGGAAGGGTTAAATCTATCGTTTAAAACTCAGATGCCTCCAATCCGCCGGTTTTCCACGGAGGCAGATATCCACCATGCCACACCCCTGATGTTGGAGCCGGAGCCGGAACCTTACGAGAATGAGTTCCAACAGAGCTATCTCCAACCTGAGCTAAACCTACCTCCATACAGAGCACCGCCCACCCTCAACCCGGTTCCGCCCCACCTCTACCATCCCAGGGACAGGTTAGGTCAGGGTCCCCTCCTGCCCCCTGTAGACGAGGATGAGTATAGTGGAGAGCAGGATGAGGAGAAGGAACAGGATTTACATAGACAACTTCTCAACTTACCCCTTCACTCAGACGGAGGTTCTCATGATTCACACAATGACTCCGGATACTCAACAAGGTTCGGAGCAAGTGCTGGACCCTCCCCTAGCTTATCAGGTAATTAAACCCTCTCCGCCTAATTTAAAGTAAACCTGAATAAGAGATAAAGTCATGTTAATTAAAAGTCAGAATTTAATAATCATCCATTTTTTATTGAAAACTAGGATATTTCCGTTAATTTTGCTCAGATCAAGGTTTTTTAAATAATCTCTATTTCTAATTTTTATTTTTTATTTTGAGATACATTTGTCTCTCTTTCATAACTCATCAAATAGGGGTGGATGGATTTCAATATTTTCGAATAATTATAATGTTTCACCATTTATAATGTTAAGGAAGATATATTAAGTATTTTACAAATTAATCAAGTAGTATTTTACAAATTAATCAAGTAGTATTTTACAAATTAACTACTTCTTTTGAACTTGTGAACTTATGTCCAGGACTACAAAAACGTATAAGTGAGTTTATGTGAGTCTAAAAATTTGATGACTAAGTTTCAGAGTTGTTTAATTTTAGTGTCCTGTGTACAGTGTACTGTACATTATGCATGTACTGTACATTATGCATGTACTGTACATTATGCATGTACTGTACATTATGCATGTACTGTACATTATGCATGTACTGTACATTATGCATGTAATGTACATTATGCATGTACAGAAAACGTTAAACAATGCATTGCCGTGAGTTACCATTTACTGTACATTATAAACCGTACATAAATTAACGCTAAGAATGAATTTGAAATGCATAAATGCAGTTTTAGTTTGTCGTGAGTGTTTAAAATGCATTTATTTCACCTTTACACTCTGTACAATACTTTACAATACAAAACATATACATTACTTACAAACCACGCAATACAACCAGAGTTTGGCATCGTGTTTTAGGTTTTAACTATTCAGAGGACCCCATAGAGATCTTTAAAATATTTATAAAGATATATATTAAAGCAAAGATTTTATTCTTGCAAAAGTTTTTCATAACGATTTGACAACACGGTTAATCTTTATCTATATATATAACTTTGCTTGTATTTTTGTTTGTTTGTCTCCAATAAACGTCAAAACGGCTGAAGTGATCGGGCCCAATTTTTGTGTGGGACCTCACGTGACCCCAGGAAAGGTTTATGAATGATCAAAATTTTAAAAATTTGTGTTTAAAAGATTTTTATTTTTATAAAACTTTGAAAATGCCCGAAAAAATATTATGAAATCCGCAAACTTAAAAAAAAAATTATACTGTACAAAGAGAAGATGTTCACAGATAAAGTCACAATTAAAAGCCTAAAAGCTTGTCTGTCTGTTTGTCTGGGTGGCTGTTTGTTTGTATCCAATAAAATTCAAATCGGTTGAACCGATCCGGCCAAAATTTTTTTGGGGACCTCACATGACCCCAGGGAAGGTTTATAAATTATCGAAATTAAAAAAATAGTCTCCAACAAATTCGATTTCCATAAAATTTTCAAAATCCACGAAATTTGTTTTATAAAATTCACAAATTTTTTTGCTTTTGATTTAAAATGTATACAAAAAGAAAATGTTCACAATTGAAATAGAAGATGGGAACAAAGCGCCCTAAACGCCTCGTTTTTAAAGAATGTATTACACTCAGAAAAAATACATACATAACTACAATTAAACCAGTTATTTAAATTTTTGGTTTAGCTATGCATCGTATTTTGCACAAAGAAAACAATTTTGACAAATATCTCAGATTCTTAAATAATCTCTTAAAAGTCTAAAAACCCTGATTGCTTGAAAACGCATGCGTTTAATGGTCCTTCATGCAATACCCGATTCACACCGGTACCCTTGAAGCTTTTAGCTTATCAATATTGTGGAAAATGTTTTTCTAGGTTCAAATTCTAATTGTTCCTTTATGCTTTCTTGCAGTAGAAATGCGCAAGTCACTTTTGTAGAGAAACTACAATTGAAAATAATCAGTTTTAAAATTATAGACATTGATATCTAATTCATTATTTTGATCAGACAAAGCTTTTAAGGGAAGTGTTAAGTTGTAAATCGTGCATTACAATCTTTTCATGGAGGATCACTTAAAATTACGCTACCAGTCCCTTAAAGAAAAAAAATGTTCTAATGATAAAATATCTGACTGTGGTATCGCGTTTGAAGAATGTTTTGAAGTATTTGAACATTTATCCCCTGTCAACTAGAATTCAAGTTGGTTAATAGGACCTCACAACATACACATTCATCAACAGCCACACACCACACTCAACAGTCGTCTTTCATTGACGCGGAATACAGAAATAATACTTTATTCTTTAAAGTGATTGTAGTTTTAACTTAGATCACAGTAATCCACAGGTTGAAAGCTTTCACTTACTTCAAAAAAGAATAAAGCTAAAACAAGTGAATTAGAGTTTTAAGTTTCTAAAGTTTAATGTACGTCTGGCTTTATCTGTATTTGGAATATTCTAAAAAATGAAAGGTCTCGTCACTAATTTGAAGGGTATTATTTTACATGTTTTTTTTACTACGAAAAGGGTGTCAATATGATACTTTAAGTCGGACAAATTGTTCAGGGGGGGGGCCACTAAGTCTAAGATTTTAAAGACAACCTTAAACTCTTTAAATATGACAATTTCAAGGCAAAATTAAGTCTTCTACCTTGAATATATTCTGTTGGTGGCTTATTCGATGGTAAGGCAAAGAAAGAAACAAGTTTACGGTTGCAAAGAATAATAAGAGGGGGTTTGAAAACAGAAGAATTGAAACTGATGATTTAGATATTAATTTCAAAAACTCTAATCGATTTGATATTCCTTATTTTTTCATATTTTCATATATTAGATATTTTCTCTAAAAATGTTTGAACTTTTCAACGTTTTTGGTATTTCGTGATTCAAGCCCGGTAATTTAGGAAGGTACAGGGGTCAAACCTTGATTCTCAAAATATAGTTCTTTACTTAAAATTCGTTCCATTAGTTTTCGACATAGGTTTTCAGGCGCGCACAATAAAAAGTCTATTTTTTTTTTGTCCATGAGCCGCGATTTAAAAGCTTCGGCTTGGGTCTTAATTCCCTAAACCCAGCTTTAAGACCCAACTCTGACGACACGTGAATGACAGCTGCGAGATCTTAGGCTGGGCTAATGGGGTTAGGCCCAATGGAGTGCAGAATAAGGCTTAATGTAGCCAGCAATTAAAATCCGCCAAATACATTATTAAACCGGTTTTAAGAACACAACTCTGTGAAAAATTAGATGCAACTTAAATCAGAAAGCCCAAGCTGTGTATAAGGCCCAAAAAAATTTTATCGACCTGAGTGGGATTATCTTGAATTTTTAAAATCGCCGGCTCTGGTAAAATAACAATGACGATAAGGTTTTCATCGTATATAATAAGTGTTTTTTCATTGTTACCCTTTTTATAGCTATTAATAAAAGTTTTATTTACCAAGACTGGGCCGACTTTAAAGTGTCCTTGAGATTATCTCACAAACTCACACATGCTTTCTTTTTCAGCCCAAAGTACATTTTTGTGCTATAAAGCATTTGTATTAGATTTAGGATTTACGAAGTGATTAAAAAAATTCTTATCGGCTTCTGTGTAAAAACTTTTATATCACTATAAGAGGGACTCAGAGGACTAATGTGGACCAATTCTATTACAAGATGTTAAAAGATTAAACTGTTTTTGGTATTTTCTTTATCCCAAGTTTCATCATTTTAAAGCATTTCATATTTTGTTCAATTTCAGGATCAAGAGCAGGCAGCACAGATGGAGATGGATTTCATCTTCGGAATCAGGAACTTGGTCTTCCGGTCACCCACCCCGGTCATCCCGGTCATCCTGGGCACCAGGGCAACCAATCCACCCATCCACATTACCATACTCAATATCCTGGTAACCAGGCTTACAATCCTCCACCGCCTTACCACCCGCCCCACACCGGTTTCCCGCCTCACGCCGTATTTCCCGTCAACGGACTACCGCCTCATCTTAGCGGTGGACAGGGCGGTCAAGGCGGACAAGTTCCAGGACCTAGGATTCGTGCACTTCAAAATAAACTCAAGCTTACAGATATAAATGATGCAAAGGGCAGCCTTGTTTGAACAACAACAGCACCAACAAGTAAAACGGAAATAAGTGTACAAAATGTTACCGAAAAACTGAAAAAGTGAACAGACCCTTTGAATACAAAAATTTTTTCTCGATAAATGGACAAAATGAAAAATTAGGTGATCTAGTCAAATCCAGTTAATTGTGATATATAACACACTTAATTTATCTAAATACATATTCAAGTTGTTAAACATTGAACTTGCTTATTCTAAGAGAAGATGTGAGTATCTAAGGCGTTGCCAGTTTGGGTAAATTTATGTCTTTCAGCAGTCATATTCTTTTCAAAAATATTTTCTGCACAGAACTGCCAGAAAGGGGGGAGGATGTGAACATTCGGTTCAGAGTACAAAAGTGCATTTTACACAATTATTCTCTAAATATTTAAAGTAGTGATGTTTGTCTGTCTGTTTGTATCCAATAAACTTCAAAACGGCTGAACCGATCGGGCTCAAATTGTGTGTGGGACCTCACATAACCCCAGGAAGGGTTTATGGATGCTCAAAATTACAAAAATTTGTGTCTAAAGTTTTTGATTTTTGTAAAATTTTGAAAATGCGCGAAAAAAAAATATTATGAAACCGCGAACTTTTTGCTGTTATTGTTTATATTGTACACAAAGAAGATGCTCACAGATAGAGCAATAATTAAAAGTAGAAATAGCGCCCTAAAATCCTAATAAGAGTATAATTAAATAAGAATATTAGTCAAAAATAGTAAATTCCAGAAGAATTTAAATCAATAAGAGTATAATTCTATAAGAATTTTAGTCAAAATAGTATAATTCCATAAGAATATAAATCTATATGATTCCATATCAGTTTAATTTTATGAAAGTGTGAATCGTAAAAAGAAATTTCATTTTTATATTAAGCTTACTAGTTTCTGAAAAATTTGATAACAAATTTATAGAGTGAGTCAGTGAGCATCATCAATTAGTATTTTTCTAATTGAAATTTTTCGACGGTTAGAACCACGGGTCTAAAATAGGCTGTATCAAAATATTTGGAGAAATTAACTAATCACAACTGTCAAGCCACAAACTCTATTTTCTAATACCTTGGTCAGCATATATATTAATACAACATCGTTCAACCGTTTACTGAAATGGTGACATATATATTTCACTACATGTCCTGTCTTAAAATACTAAATAATAATAATATTGATATATATGCTGACCATGTTTTTATTATATTCTTGCAACCCTTATTTCGTTGGTATTAAACCTTGTTAATTATGTTGATCAAATAGTCAAAGTTTTTAATGCGTAAAGTTTACACCATCGCAGGTACCAATCTCCACATATTAGACAATTTGAGTTTTAGACAGTAGAGTTGTTTGAAATTTTAACAACATTAAATTCGAAAAAATATCATAGAGACTAACGAAATTAAAATACTTAATTTTTTGGGCAGCCTGCTGAGTTGTAAAACAAGCCCGGAGCAACCCATAGTTTCATAGAACTCAACGGTTTGTAAGGCGAGCAAGAAGAAGACGAACTCACAGAGACTGCTATTAGGCTTTTTAGGAGAGATCAACTAGCGATGAAGAGACAGCGTAATTATAGGTTAATAATCAAACATCATTTATCAATAATCTTGGGCGCGCAAATTCTACAGCAACGATCAAAATTCTTTTCTAACACGAGAAATAAAAAAATTGTTTAGTTTTCCAACAAACTTACCAGAGCTGGAAAAAATTGTATTGTGGATATAGAAATCAATGCTTGGTCGTGAACTTATGTTAATCTATATTCTATATCCGCAATGCAATTGTTCCCTGAATGGATAACTAAAACGAACAAGTAAATCATTGATCCTCAAATAGTGTCCACAGTGGAGATTGAGATCAGCGGACAGGATTATGAGTATGAAACACAAAAGTTCCAAACTCCTATCAAAACTTATGTTTAAAATGCTTCTAAATTGTTATCCAGCACGGAAACTTTTAATTTAGCAATTAAGTGGTTAATCCATAAAAAAAGTGATTATTATTTTCGTGATCACTATAACATATAAAGTTATCCAAATTGGATTAACTGAATCTGTCGGACCACATAACATACGGATTAATGCTTTCTGAAGGGATTATAAACATAAAAAATGTCGACCATAGACAGAAACTGATGGAATTCCTTTAAAGCACGGAGAATATAAGGAATATCATTTTCAGTTTGGAAACTAACTCACCAGAAAAGAAACTGCTATCCCTGTCCGCCTAATGGTGTAGACCTTTGATATTATAAATTATGAATTACTAGTAAAGTGCCTGGCGTTGCCCATGGTATTTTATAAACGCTTGAAAAAGAAATTTCGATGAGCAAGCTAAAGTTTTCAAAGGTTTTTGCACTGTACACTGTCTAATATAAAGGGATTAGAAATTCGACACCTCCAATCGTGAAAGGGTTAAAAGAATTTATTTTGGTCACGTGCAATATAAAGTCCATTATGTCTAGTTTTTCTTGTATTTACAAGAAACACGTGTTTCAAAGTTTTCCCAAATCCGTGTTCTAAATTTAATAGTTTTCTTAATAACAGGCGGAGCCCTGTGTAAACTAAGAGTATAATAATTAGTTAAACCTATGCATAATATTCAATAGTTCGGACAACAATAGAGGGGTATATATATAGATTTAGAATAATAGAACAGATAGGGGGGGGGGGGATGAAAGATACACTATATAGATATGAGGAAAAGATAGGTAGATAAATAGACAGATGTTCAAGTATACTTAAAATGTACAGGGAAGTCTGGACATTTATTGTATTTAGACAGATAGATAGACAGATAAAACCTTCTCCTGAGACAAAGGTTTAAAGGGGTGCATCACTAATCTGAAATGTAATTAACTAGATGGAGTGTGTCATTTAAAATTACGTGAATAGAAAACAATGAGTAATATACTCGGTTCGAAAACGAAGGCTTACTAAAGAAAAACATCTAATTCACCATGAGAACGATACAAAGATGGATAGATAGATAGATAGATAGATAGATAGATAGATAGATAGATAGATAGATAGATAGATAGATAGATAGATAGATAGATAGAATATAAGTAAGTAGATAGAAAGAATATATGTAGATAGATAGACAGTGAAATAGAGAGAGAGACAGATATGTGGATAGATAGATGAATAGAGAGATATATAGATGGTTAGATAGACAGATAGATATAGAAATTTTTAGATAGCCAAACAGATAAAGAGAGATATAGAGATGGTTAGATAGACAGATAGATAAAGAGAGATATAGGAAGATGGTTAGATAGACAGATAGATAAAGAGAGAGATAGAAAGATGGTTAGATAGACAGATAGATAAAGAAACAGATAAAGAGAGATATAGAGATGGTTAGATAGACAGATAGATAAAGAAGATATAGAAAGATGGTTAGATAGACAGATAGATAAAGAGAGATATAGAAAGATGGTTAGATAGATGTAGATAAAATAAAAAGTTTAGATATCCTATATGGGAATGTATTACATTGTGTTGTGATATGACTGGCAAGAGAAGAATCCATTACAAATATATCAATTCATTCGCACTTCCTCACATATATATATTTATACTTTCTTTCTTTTGTTCATTTTATTCACTTATTCATTTATTCATTTTATTCACTTGTTCTTTTATTCATTTTATTCACTTATTCATTTATTCATTTTATTCACTTGTTCTTTTATTCATTTTATTCATAATTTTTCCTTTCTAACTTTAATTTATTCAGTCATTAATTCAACCAACCTTTTACCAATTTACTAATTTATTCATTTATCCATCAGTTATACGCTCACTCATTTTTATTACATCCTTTCGATCATTTATGAAAAAAGTTAATTCAGATGTAAAGCAATCTCAGCCAAGCCTCGAATAAACACAGACTATCAGTTCAGAGCTGAAAACTTTAGACTGAAATATCCAATTGTCATTTTGCTTCTCTGGAGTTTAAATTCATGTGGAGAACAAGCAATATTTAAACTGGATATTAAGAAAAAGAGTGGTTTAAGCCTTAATCCTGATATCCACCATTCTAAAGTTTTCAGCTCTGGATATATATCTCGATACAAATATTATCATCATCAGTCCTAACACAATTAAAAGATGAACAAGAGTTGGAAATAATTAAATAATCTTCTAACAGACAGTTAAAAAACAAATTGTAGCGTATATTAACCAAGGATGTGTGGTGTTGGAGATGTCTAGATTTAAACTGAAGTTGAGGAATGTTTACAATGGTGGGGGGCTGCTGACGGTCGGGGCTCAAAAGATGTCAAATTTGTGTTTCTTGAATAGAAGATGAGGAGGTCTGGGATGACAATTCAAAGACATGAATCTCTGAAGAATAAAACAAAAACAATACTAAACAAAGGAGTTCTGGCAACAAACTCAGATTTTCTTATCCCTATATCTTTACAATATTGTGGTGTAAACATTTTAAATTTCAAACTTAGATTATTTTATCAAACAGAATTCATAGTTTGAAATAATTAAGGTCTACGACATTGGGTTGCAAAGATATAGGGATTAGAAAATCAGAGTTTGTAGCACACGTGGATTTAACGGTTCTGTCAATATTCCAGAAAGCTGTGACTTTCGATCACAATTTGACTTGTTAGCCATTTTTCTTTAATACTTTTTTGTTGGCATATACATTTTGAATGAAAATGTATAAAATAAACAAATCCGTAAAGTAAATAATTATTGAATTAAAGACGAAAACACGTTTGATTTCAAAAAGAAGAAACCGAATGCTGCTCACTCTGGTTAGTCCGGTGTGAGCAAAGACTCAATTCCTTTAATATTATAACAGCGATTGAAAACAAATTAATAACACTTTCTTTAGAAGCGATTGAGAAACTGTTGTGGAGAAACCAAGCGGTGAAAGTTCGTTTAAAAAAATCCCAGCTCAGGATACTTTTAGGGTTGGTCCAGTTTTAGTTCTCACTGATCTATTCCTTATCATACTCTCAGGCTACTCTAGCAGGGCTATCTTGCACCATCTCATGGGAACACAAAGAACACAGAGTATGAGGTTATAGAGTTAGCTCACATCAAACATGGGAACACAGAGAACACAGAGTATGAGATTATAGAGTTAGCTCACGTCAAACTGAAGTAAAATGCACGAAAGATTGAAAATTGACATTTTATAAAAAAAATAACTTCTCTTTTGTAAAGCTATAGCG